TCCTGGTTCCACACCCCGATATTGAAAGTAATTTAGTTTGACACGAAAATTTTAAGCTGTTGGTAAACACACGTCTGCTCTGTACGACTGTCGCTGAGCGAATCCACTGTGCGTTACTCAGCGTTACTGTGCGTTACCGTGCGTTACCGTGCATCACCGTGCGTCAACGTTGAGTGACGTTCAGTAACGTGCAGCAACTTGCAGTAATAAACAGTAACGTTCAGTAACGTTGAAGAACCTGCAATTACGTGTAGTTTCGTGCGTTACCCTGCGTAACCGTGCGTTACCGTGTGTCAACGGGCAGTAACGTGCAGTACTGTTTAGTTACGTTCAGTAACGTTAAGTTACGTACAGTAACGTGTAGTTTGGTGCGTTACTCAGCGTTAGTATGCGTTACTGTGCGTTACTGTATGATAATGTGCGTTACCGTGCGTTACCGTGCGTTAACGTTAAGTGACATCCAGTAACGTGCAGCAACCGAAGTCCCGGAAAATCTAACAGCTGTCTTACAATTTTTGGCTCGTAGCTCTTTTGTTTACCTTTTACTTGTCGTCTGTGTTTATTTGTTTTTGATTTTTGTCGCTGGGGCTGTGTACGTGATCTACTGTTGATGTGTTTGAGTGTGTGCTATAATACCTGGCTTAATTAAATCGACTTTCACTCTGCGTTATTTCTGCTGGTTGACGCGAATCGTACCTACTGGACCCGCACAAATTCTGCCGATGAGTCGAAGTGATTGCTTCGGGTGTAGGCACTGTAAGAGAATAATAGCCACGGCGACCCTGGTCTGCACCTGCGGTTTTTCACCCGGGCTGCGTGGGTCGCTATTTGTCGTCGGGCTCGGCGACTGAGACTTGCGCTGCTCTGTTGTCTGAAATTTCGTTGTCCTCGTCTGACGCTCGTCGGAGCAAGCGTGCGAAGGACATTGCGCTTACTCGTTTGGAGTCTCGCATGACGAAGGTGGACGCACTTCGTTTTGTCAAAGAGGGTGATACAGACGCTGAGCATCTTGAGTCGCAGGTTACACATCCGCCATCGACGATGTCGGTGACAAATGAGTCGATCTTGGAGGCTATCTTGCGCATCGAGGCTACTGGTCCGAAGTTCGCACCACGTGCGCCGAGCTGAGGGTGGGAGCCGTCGCTATGGATGCGAAGCTCGATAAAGCTATTGCGACATTGGATACTCATGATGTTCGCATATCTGCTGTAGAGGTTCGCCAACGGGAGATAGTGGAGTACCTGAAGAGGATGAAGCCGTGCACTGGTATCAAGATAGTGGGGATTCCGGCTGCTCTGTCCGACTCGACCGATGCGGGCGCTCGCAAGCTGTGTGTGGACATGCTGAAATTGATTGGAGCAGAGGACACTGTGAACGACGTGGACAGCGTCCGATGGCTGAACCCACCCGCCTCACGTCGAGCGGCCGCTGGACGGACTTCGGTCGTGCCTCCGGCTTCTCGCACACTGGTCGTTGAGTACAAGCAGTCCATCACCCGTGACCGGGTGCTTAGTACGATGAAAAAGGCCGGCGATGTACTTGCCTCTGCACTCTTGCCTGGTGCGAGCGGTGTCCTTGTGGCAAGTGCGCGAGGTTATGCGCATGTGTGGGTCCGTGATGATATGGTCCGCGTCCGCTAGTCCGATGGCTCAGAGGTCATTGATGTGCTCACAGAGATGGACTTGAAGAGCCTACTATGACTAAAAGAGGTATTAAAAAATCATACCGATCGCTTGATAAGATCACTATCATGCACATCAACATAAATTCACTGCGCGACCACTTCACGCAAGTTCGAAACACAATCATTACGAGTAACATCGATGTGCTGTCTCTCGCTGAAACCTTGATGACGCCCAACCTTTCGACGACAATGTGTAGCATCCCAGGATACAAACTTATTAGGAATGACAGAGGCCTGCGAGCGACCGCGACTAGACGCAAGCGTAAACACGACATGAAACGTAAGAATAAGTACATGCAAGGAGGCGGTGTTGCATGTTATATTCGTAACACTATACCTCATCGGGTTCTGCATGCACCGCAGATTACAAAACTAAATGAGACGGACAGCTTGCTGCTTGAGCTCGGCAGAGGCAACCGTAAACTGCTCGTTGGCTCTGTATACCGAAGGCCTGGAGGATTTTATCTGAATGAGTTTTTCGATGCGCATTACTCATTGTGTCACCGACCATACAGCGGGGTCATTATTGCTGGCGATTTTAATGTCGATCCCCTGTCCGACGACTATGAGTCGGTCCACTTTCGTCGTCTGGTGATGGAGGCCTCACTCGAGTTTGTCCCGTTTGAGGCTACGCACCATGGCGCCACGTTCGATACGGCTATCGACAGTATAATCGTGGATTCATTGGACAGGATCACTAGGAGCATCAAGTCTCCGACCCCATACACTGCTGCACACGACTCGCTTATGGTCGAATATAGACTCGAGGATCCGCTGCCTGTTGGTGACACCGGTTTTTACCGAGACAAACGTGGTATCGCAGTGCCGGAGTTTGAGCCGAGCTTGCGCTCTGCTTTGGATTGTGTGCGTGATTTGGACGACGTCGATGATATGGCGAATGGCATACATGGGATTATGCTTGAGACACTGAATACTTTTGCACCTCTGCATAGGCGTTCAGTGAGAGCTACTCGAGCACCATGGTTCACGCCGGTTTTGACGGAGAGATGCAGGATGCGCGATGGGCTCTACCAGCGTTACAAGAGGACACGTGACCCGGATTTGCTTCGTCGCTTCAGACAGCTGTGACAAGAACTCAAGAGAGAATCGAGGCGAGCTCGTGAGGATTATCTGTTGAATGGACTGAGGAGTTGTTCCACGGAAGCGGGGCGATGGTCGTATCTTCGACGTATTGGCATCTCCGCCCCCCAGCTGCCATCTCCACTTACTTTTTTTGGTCCTGAAGAATTGCTCGACCATTACTGTGCAGTAACGACGGTTCATCCGGGGTGCTCTGCGGAGGGACTCATTGATATCATCGCCTTGGATGTACAAAACGACCTGCCGGCCTTCAGCTTCCGAGATGTTACGGAGGTTGAGGTGCTGTCTGCATTGGTGCGTGTTGCGGGTGGCGTTGGCACTGGCTCAGGTGATGGACTTTCGTTGGCATATTTTAGTAATGCACTTGCCGCGCTCGCGCCTGTGCTTGTCTCCACTATCAATGTCATGATTTCGTCCGGCAAATATCCGCAGTTATGGAAAAAATCATATATTCGACCGCTCAGCAAAGTGCGTGCACCCGCGTAACCCGCGCAGACGCGACCTGTATCAAACCTGCCGCATCTTGCCAAGGTCTGTGATAGGCTCTTAACTGCTCAAATAACGGAGCATCTCGAATCGCACAGTCTGCTTTCACCTATGCAATCGGGTTTTCGGGAGGGATTCAGTACCCAAACTGTCCTTATCAAGGTAACAGAGGATATACGGCGTGGAGTAGAGGACGGATTGGTCAAAATTTTACTGCTGTTTGACTTCAAGAGTGCATTTGACATGTTAAATCATGAAAATCTAATTTCGGCTCTCAGAAAATTGAATTTTTCACCCAATGCTTTATCACTGCTTCACTCATACCTGTCCCAGCGATCACAAGCGGTAATGGATGACGTCGGAAATTTGACTGACTTAAGAGCTTATACATCCGGAGTCCCGCAAGGATCCACGCCTGCACCCATCTTGTTTGCTGTATATATTGATTCGCTAACGCGTATATTCAGACACTGCGCCGCCACACATATGATGTTCGTAGACGACCTCCAAATCTACCTACAGTGTCCTCCCTCTGAAATCAACTCTACCATCGCTAAGCTCAATGAGGAGGCGCACGGCGTTGCGAGCTGGGCGCATGATAACGGCTTGGTGCTCAACATCTCCAAGACAAAGGCTATACTGTTTGCTTCCGATCAAAACCTGATGCGCATCCCATGGGACCTTTGCAGTAGGATCATGCTCGAGGGCACAGAGATCCCCTTCGAAGACTGTGTCAAGAATCTTGGACTGTTGATGTATCGTTCCCTCAGCTGGAAGAATCATGTCAGTGTCATCTCTTTGCGTGTCCATGGGGTGTTGCTTCGTTTGCGCTCTGCAGCTGGCTTTTTACCGTCTGACATAAAGAAGATATTGGTCAGCACGTTCATCATGCCTCACTTTGACTATTCATGTCTCGCCTTCATCGACATCAAAGCTACCACTGACATCAAGCTCAAAAGATTGCTTAACACGTGTGTACGATATATTTTTAGGCTGAAAAGAGATGCTGAACTGTTGCCTTATTATCGCAGGCTCGATTGGCTTCCTCCATCCGATCGACGCACCTACCTGCTTAATCTGTTCACCTACAAGATGATTTCAACAGCAAGTCCTGAGTATCTCAAAGAACTTTACCATATACCCAACGATCAGATCCGCAGGTCTGCGCGGCTAGCTAGTGGACCGCGGACATTGGAGGTTCCATTTGCGGACACCACAACCTATAAGATGGGATGTTTAGTTATTGTTAAGTTTTGGCATGTAGGGCGCGACTGTGCCGGGTGCTTGATGGGAGAATAACGGACAGAGATGATGTTTGTGCTTATTGCCTCAGTGCTCGATCGAACTGCTTGATCGAAACAGTCGAAGTTGGACCTTGAAAGCTCATCTAGCTCTCGACCCAGTCGCGCGTTACTCGCTTTTACGCCGACTAGCAATCTCGATTTACCGACGAGAATTTTTCATTAATAAAGTTATTAGTTTTTTGTTAAAGAATTGGCTAAGCGAATAATTCAATTATCCTCTCACGGAACATTGGTAGCAGAGCGCGTGGTTTATTTATTTACTTTCACTGTAACGCTTGAGTGTGTAATCGACTGGCCGTGAACTCGCAGCAACGACAGACGATTGACCACACGGTCTTGTTTACATTTTTGAACGGTTCTCAACTGCCAAGAAAAGCCAACGAATTTTCATACCAACGGTTTTTCACCTTGGAGATCGTAACAGGATGGCCGCCTCACTTTTGAAGGTTCAGTTGGACGTGGCCAAGAACATAATAAATTTTTATGAAAACTCAACCAGTAAGGTCGGAGCACAAAGACAAACCTTGTCGCACTTCCGAGCTCGACTCGAATTGCTCGAAGTTTATTGGAAGTCGTTCATCGGGAGGCACGACGAACTCCTGGGTCATGCTGACGACCTCAGTCAGCAAGAGTACTTCGTCAAGGACTGTTATGGCCTCACCGAAGACAATTACACTGACGCCAAGGCTCTCATCTTGGATCATATAACGGCTTTGACCCCGCAGGGTCCAACGGCTGCCCAGACCGGAAGCGACCGAGTGGCGCGCTCCGGCGAACAGTCGGTGGTTCCGTTGCCTGCTCTCGCTCTGCCTATCTTCACCGGAAAACAGGAAGAATGGGAGAGCTTCAAGCAACGTTTTTCGTCCCTGGTACGAGATAAGGAGGCCATCCCAAAGGTCGCCAAGCTGCAACACCTTCTCAATGCAGTGCAGGGCCCGGCTGCGCTTCGACTGAAAGGAATGGAAATCACAGCAGCCAATTTTGACGTTGCATGGGACAAGCTCGTGCGTCGCTATGACAATCAGCGCATACGTTTACATAACGCCCTGGAAAGTCTAATGCAGCTACCACTGGTGAAGTCGCGCAACGCGGATGAGCTTACCAACCTGATCGACAGGACAGAGGAGGCGGTTCGCTCGCTGCAGGAATTGCGGTGCCCTGTTCACGAGTATGACAATTGGATTGTCCACTGCGTCGTTCGAAAGCTCGACGCAAATTCGCGGGAGTCGTGGGAGATCTCACGCGAGGAATCCTCCGAGTTCCCGAAGTACGGTGACCTGGTCCTTTTTCTCGAGCGTCGTGTGCAGTCGCTGGAGCAGGCGCGACCGTCAGCCGGGCTTGCGACAACGAGCAGCCAAGGCTTGCGTGATCGGGGCTACGGACATCGACGTGTCTCGGCCAACACCGCACGAATTGAAGACGCGCCTGCGGGTCGTTCGGGACCCCTGTGCGACGTCTGCCAGAAGAGCCACTGGATTCATAGATGCTTCAAATTTCTAGGCATGTCCCAGCAGCAGCGGCTCGAGCTGTGCAAGGCGAGGCGTCTGTGCCTGAACTGCCTGCACAGGTCGCACCTCGTTGACAAGTGCCCATCATCGTCGCGCTGCCTCATTTGCCAGGATAAGTATCACACGAAGCTTCACACCGACAGGCCGGGACGACCGAGACACGGGAACGGCAGCAGCGCCGAGGAAGGGGCCATGAGCAACGTCAGCGCTCCAGTCGAAGAGGATCAAGGCAGCTCGGTGAATGTGTTCACGACTCGAGTTGGCTCCGACATTTTGTTGGCTACCGCAATGGTACACCTCGTGACCGCGGGCGGACAGCTCCTGTCGGTCAGAGCACTCATTGACCCAGCGGCGGAGCGGAGCTTCATCACTCGGCGTGCGGCATCGCAGCTGAATTTGCCTACGCGACGCACTTCGATGTCGATCATTGGTCTCGGCGCTGCTGTGTCATCGAAAGCCGGCACCGAGCTGTGCCTGCAGGTGCGATCCCCCAAGAAGCCTGAATTTGCATTGCGGACATCGGCCCTGATACTTTCGGAGCTTACGGATTTCTTGCCCAGCAATCGAGTGAAATTTGAGTCGTGGCCGCACATACAGGGTCTTGAGCTGGCCGATCCGCGCTTTGGAGTGCCGGCGCGTGTGGATTTCGTTCTCGGCGGTGATGTGTTCCCGGAGCTTATTTTGAACGGGGTCATCAAGGGGACTGCGGGAACCCCCGTGGCCCAGAAGACGGTCTTTGGATGGATATTGACGGGGCCAACGCTGCCGGACACGGCCGACAGAGGAGGCGCTGTGCGAGCGTTTCACGCATCAATTGAGCCGTCAATCTCAAGTCTCGTCTCGAAGTTATGGGAGCTCGACAACGTTACGAGCAGGCCGCATTTGTCTGAGGACGAGAGACGCTGCGAGGAACTGTTCGTGCAGACGCATCGTCGGGACAGCAGCGGGCGATTTGTGGTGCGTCTACCATTCGCGCGCAGAGCCGACCTGAGAGGCTCCAGGTTCACGGCTCAGTCTTGTCTGCTAAGGATGGAGCGCCGTTTTCAAAAGGATTCGAGGCTGCGCGACGTTTATTCCGAGTTTATGAATGAATACATAAGGCTTGGGCACATGGAATGTGTGCCGACGCAGCAACTTCAACGACCGAGTTCCTATTTGCCTCATCATGGAGTTTTTCGACCGGACAACCCCAACAAGATTCGAGTGGTGTTCAACGCGTCGAGCAAGACAAATGGCGGAATATCGTTGAATGACCAACTGCTTGCGGGGCCAAAACTGCAGGCGGATATTACAGTGGTACTGTCCAACTGGCGTTTTTTCGAATTCGCAGGCACGACCGACGTCGAGAAGATGTTCCGCCAGATACGAGTACACGAGGACGACGTCGACTGGCAGCGTGTGCTCTGGCGAGCTGGCCCTGACGAGCCGATACGTGATTATCGCTGCACGACGGTGACTTACGGGACTGCTTCAGCTCCCTTCCTGGCCCTGCGCGTGATGAAGCAGCTTGCGGAGGACGGACGGGTCGCTTATCCGGAAGCATCGGAGGTGCTACAGCACCAGCTCTACGTCGATGATCTTTTTTTTGGCGCCGGGTCTGCGAGAGAGGCAATACGCCGAAGAGATGAGCTCATCGCGCTGCTCGCGTCAGCGGGCATGAGGCTAGCGAAGTGGGCTGCATCGCACACGGAAATCGTTGAGGATCTCACCGACAACAAGCCGGAGGCGGTTGCATTGAGGGTAGATGAGGCGGTGTCTACACTTGGATTGAAGTGGCTGCCTCGGCTGGACTGTTTTACCTTTCAGTTTAAGCCTGTCCTCGCAACGTCGCCTGCCACTCGTCGTACGGTATTATCCGACATTGCAAGGACATTCGACCCTATGGGATGGCTATGTCCGGTGCTTATTGTGGCCAAGATCCTGCTGCAGGATATTTGCATCGACGGCACGGACTGGGACGCGTCGATTGCGGAGCCATTGGATCGACGGTGGACTGATTTCTGCGCCACCTTGGACGACGTTACCAATATCCGAGTGCCTAGATGGTTTGGCGCATCAGAGTCAAGCACTTGGCACTTGCATGCGTTCGCTGACGCGTCTAAGAGAGCGTATGCTGCGGCGTTATACGCAGTAATCCCGTCAAAATCGTGTCAACTTATTGTAGCCAAGACAAAATTAGCGCCGACCAAAGTACAGACGGTGCCGAGGTTGGAGCTCTGCGCGGCCGCTCTTCTTGTCCGCCTGGTCAAGAGTCTGCTTGACGGCCTCAGATTTCCACCGGCTCGCATCTTCTGTTGGTCGGACTCGAGTGTTGTGCTTGAGTGGTTGCGAGGACATCCTTCGAGGTGGCCAACGTTCGTGGCGAATCGAGTCAGCGACATTCAGACTGGCCTGCCTGACGCTTGCTGGAGGCATGTACGAACGATGGATAATCCAGCTGACTGTGCGACAAGAGGATTATCGCCGCTCGAATTGGCCGCTTTCCCACTTTGGTGGAATGGCCCTTCTTGGCTTCTCGACGAGGAGGCAACGTGGCCAGCATCTGTTGTACCCTCGAGTGAAAGCGCACAGGTCATGGTCGCACGGCGGGCGCCTCCGCCGGCCGTTACCAGCTGCCTACCGAATTTGAGCGTATTTTCCAGCTTCAGCAAAATGGTTAAAGTGCTCTGTTACTGCCGCCGGTGGCTGGCTGTCGTCGGTCGAGCGGAGGTCGCGGGGCCCGATGGTGACGAGTGGAGAGAGGCTCAATTTATGTGTTTTCGGCGAATCCAAGCGCATCATTTCGGGGACGATATCAAGGCGGTCACTGCTGGAGAAAAGCTGCCGAAGAGGAGTCGGTTGAGGGCACTTCACCCCTTCATTGGCACTGGAGGTCTATTGCGAGTTGGTGGTCGTTTGCAGAACGCTCCACTGACATATGATGAAAAACACCCGATCATTCTACCTGGACGTTGTTTAATCGTGAGGAGATTGATTGAACAGGCTCATAGGGATACCCTTTATGGCGGACCGCAGCTTATGCGCTCACACCTGGGCCGCATGTTTTGGATTTTGCGAGGCCCGCGCGTCATTCCCGCCGTTTTCGGGGACTGCGTTCGCTGTGCTCGCTTTCGAGCTACTGCACTGGAGCAGCAGATGGGCCCGCTGCCCGCAGAGGAGCAGAGGAGCAAATGGCTGACCGCACGGGAGAGCTTGCAGCCAGGTGACATGGTGCTGCTGAAGGATGATCTATGCTCGCCATCGTCGTGGCCGCTGGCACGCGTCGAGCAGGTTCATCCGGGTTCTGATGGATTGGTCAGAGTTGCGACTATCAAGACCGCAAGCTCAACTTTTACAAGACCAATTGTCAAATTGATTAAGCTGCCGACTGATGCTCAAGCCGAGGAATATTACTGTCGGCTCAATGAAAAGGAGACGAACGAATGAATTATTTTAGGCTCTTGAAATTTCGAACCCTTTGTCGGAAAACTGTTTGTATTGTTTAGAGTTGCTTTACTTTTTTTGTAGTATTAATTTGTTTATAATTTTGTTTTTTACATTTTCATTTTTTTGTGAACTCTTTTGTGGACTTTCATTCTTGTTATGGTTTGTGATGTTATTGCCGCTACATTGGGTCAACGCGGGCGGTATGTTTAGTTATTGTTAAGTTTTGGCTTGTAGGGCGCGACTGTGCCGGGTGCTTGATGGGAGACTAACGGACAGAGATGATGTTTGTGCTTATTGCCTTAGTGCTCGATCGAACTGCTTGATCGAATTAGTCGAAGTTGGACCTTGAAAGCTCATCTAGCTCTCGACCCAGTCGCGCGTTACTCGCTTTTACGCCGACTAGCAATCTCGATTTACCGACGAGAATTTTTCATTAATAAAGTTATTAGTTTTTTTGTTAAAGAATTGGCTAAGCGAATAATTTAATTATCCTCTCACGGAACAAATATATTAATTATTATTAATTAATATTATATTAATTATTATTTATTAATATTATATTAATTATTATTAATTAATATTATATTAATTATTATTGCGACGCTGCAAATTGGCCTTATCAAATAAGGTTCAGCTCAAATGCCGTCGACAAGAATTTTATTATGTGGGACCTCTTGTACTCACGCTGATTTCTCCGAGGGGGTTCTGGGCCTTCCGTCGAGTTTGGGCCGAGCTGTTGGCCCCAGTGACTCACCTTTCGAATCGGCCGAGGAAATCTCGATTTTGTCGCGAATTCCGCGAAAATCCTTACAATTCTGCAATATTGCTCTACGTGCTGAAAAGAGGGAGTCTAGGAAATTTACAACAAAAACGAATTAATTATGACTCGCGAGATTCAATTTCAAAAATCTAGTCACTTTATTTCACTTTTAACATTGGCCACCAGGTGCGCTGGTGGCGTTCTTGTTTGCCTTCCGTGGCCGAACCTTTGCTCCGCGGCAATAGGTTATGTCGTGACTCTCTTATACTACTTGGCCAAAATGGCCGTCGCTACGTACGCGTGGTCGAACGAGCTTGGCCGACGCGCGCGTGCTTCGCTCGTCGACCTGTAGCCACGTGGCTAACTCCGCGAGATCGCGTCTACGCCGCGCCGTACACCTGCGTTT